TAAAGATGCAATGTGGCACAGCTTGAAAGGGGAAAAGTTCAATTACAAACCCTAATGTTCTTTAGAACTTAAATGATTTAGGCTGACAGATGCCTTTTTAAGCTATTATAAGTTTTAATGAGATTGGAGCCAAGCATTTGCAATTAAGAATCAAAAGTGGCTGTATTTAAATTTTATACAAACCTGAATTTATTTGGTACTATTAAGATCCTATAAAATATGCAAACATCAATGAGCTTATTTTCAATGAATGTGGTATTCATTAATCTTCTTACAGTTACAGAATAAGTGTTACTGCTTAAAGGCAGTGTTTGCGGGCACACACACAAAAAGCTATTAAAATTTTTGGACACGATTTTTTTTGCTCCATGGTCTATTGAACATGTGATAGCATGAACCCTCTGAACCAACATGTAGTGAAATCTTGTAAACACTAAAACCAGAGTTGTCAGCTGTCACTCATCTTCTGAGACACTCACTCATACGTCATCTTCTCACCACTTCTTGCTCCTTTACTCTGTATACTTGGATGCCATATGCCACCTTATATATAACGCACAGACACAGGAGGCGGCATGATTTTTTTTTAAATGTATGTTTCCTTTGTTAGCCTGGTAGAGGCCCTTTCTTATAGCTGCCGACCCAGCCAGCCACAGCTTGCTTTTCAGCCTTTTTGCTCCAATCATGATTTTTCAGACCATTTTAGGGACACAGGTGACTGCAGCCCCCAGCGTACCGAAGTCCCAAAGGCATGTGTTATGGCTTTAAAGAAAGAAACTCTTATTTAGACAATTGGTACTTGGCTCCAAGATACAATACGAAAGATTAGACTATTATAATCCACAGAAACTATTAGAAACAAAACTAGGTTTGAGTATTTGCACTCTCTTTTTTAACTTCTAAAATTTCTTGAAAGTAGCACTGCAAAGCTCAAGGGTGCAAGATGTGCCTTTTAGCCTAAAGGCAAATTAAATTAATAAAACAACTGTAAAAAAAAAAAAAAAAAAAAAGAAATGCGTGTACAGAACTCTATAGCCTTCCCGATATAGCGTGTAAGAGATGCAAGAACTGCTATACTGTATATGTGTATTAAACAGTGTGTTGAACACAATATGTTCGATGAGATTTTAATATCACCATTACTAGCTGACTATTGTCTAAGCTCCAGTGAAGGAAAAAATTAAATATTTAACATAATTTTAGGAAAAAATTTATAACTGCCACTATACAATATTAATATGAAATCATTATGAATCCACTTGTTCCTTTAATCAAGCTCTGGAAGATTAAGGCTCTCACTTTACTACCCAATCAATTTATTTGCTGCAAATATGGCTGAGCCACTACAGCCATTTTTCTTCATTGCTTGGGGCCAGATTCACAGACCTGAACTAGGGTTACCCTTTAATTGAATCTCTGCACCCGCGTGGGACACTCTTCCTCACCCATAAGGGCTAAGAACCTCCCTTCCACACAAAATTAGATTGATGTTCCTTTTTATTCCAGTATATTGCTCAGACTGAAGTCAGAGCAAACTTTATAGATGTTAAAGAAATAAGCCCCCACATCATTTCATGCTTCTTCCTCCATTATTTTTTGTTGTTGTTGTGTACCCAATTTCATGTCTTTGCCACACACGTTTCAGCTACGGAGAGTTTAAAGTTTTATTCCTGTGTAACTGAAGGCTTCTGCTCTTCCACTCTTTTGAGTTTGGAGTGAAAGCAGGAAGTATCTATCTAGTTTTAAGACAGCATTTATAACCACCCTAGGTTATGATCTCATAAGACCTCACAAACTAACTATCTGCAGCCAGGCAGAAACTTGAAAGGGAAACACCGTGGTGCTGAAGAAAGTCATGCTGATTATTCAATAAGTGACTTTTTTCCGAATTATTATGAAACCAGTTCCTCAGAATGATGCTAGCAATGCTGACTTTTGGATGGCTTATAAAAACTTGACCACTTTTGTGCTTTGAAGATCCCAAGGAACTTTGTGTTAGAAGAGGCATGTTAATCATGGTGTCTTGACCAAATTCTAGTTGTGGATGTGGTAATGACATTTGTCTCAAATTCCTCCTGCAGCTTCTATTAATTGTGTCCCACCCTAAAGTATTGTGTAGTGTTGATGTGCATGCCATATTTAACTTCAGAGGGTGGCTGCAGTGTTGGATTAAGTGATCCATAGGTATTTTTATATCATAAGTTTGTAGAGCACTTGAGGATCTGTTAGAATGGCATGCACTACATTAAAGTAATGCATTACTATTATTGGGTTATTTTTATTTATGATGATCACACAATGTGGTCACAAAATGGGTTTATATCAGTAGACTTGAGTTGATGCTCTGTGCCAAAAGATTATTAGTCTCCCTAAGCCTATCCATTAGAATTCACTGTTGTCATAAGAAATATTTGTGTTCTATATATGGTCATGGAGGTGGCAGAGAAGATGAGCAGGCAGAACATGAGATTCTATAGTGAATGTGTTGCACATTTAATTGTGTTCCAAGTTTCTTATTAGTCAGTGTCCTGAAATTGCAAAACTATACATTTTGACTAATCTAAGAAGATTGATAATCACAGACCTTCCACAACTGGCAACCCACAGAGGCCAGAATTCTTGAAGATGTAGAAATGGCCCATGAGAGAAAGAGAAGTGATCAACACTGACAGTGAAATAAAAGAAATATTAACATAGCAGAAGTAACAACAGGAAGAGGAACTGAGCTACCAGGCTCATGATCAAAAAGACATCATAAATGAAGTGAAACACTGACAAGTTTAAGACTTTCATCATTCTATCTCCAAATGTGTACCAGAATGACACTTGTCAAGAAAATAAATGAAAGAAACAACATCTAAGGTGCGAAGCACTTCAAATCACAGAATCCATCTGGAGATGCCAAAGATGAATACTGTGTTTAGTCAACATTTCCCATCAACCATATATTGACATCTGCTGTTGCTATACAGATCAACCCAGAATTAACATAAAATTGCTGTATTGCTTAATAAATGTTGACTTATGCTGTCATTTTAACTGTATAACAAGGAAAGAGCAGTATTTAAGAAAAGCAGGTGAGGACACAATAAATGTTTTTTGAAACTGGTGTGGCCAGTGGCATAACTGAAGGAAAATATATGCAGGATGCTCAGAGTTTGGTAATGTACCTTTCTGTTTCAGCTATAGATATGGTCACTCCTGCTACAAAAACACATTCAAATTGTCATCAATAAAAAGTTGATTGATTTTCACCTAATTTCAGCTATGCCATCCCTGAAATTAACATCAAGTTTAGTTTGGCAAGGGTCTGTTCATACGTCTTGGACATGACTATACTGCATAAAAGGAATAATTGAATTGAAAATTAAATAAACATAATTGAAAACAAAATGTACCTTTTAAACAGGAAAAAGAGATTCCTGATAAACTTCCGTTGCTTAGTTCATAGCGGTATTGTTTTAAAAAAATGCTAGAAAGGATTGAGCTGTAAAGTTAATTATATACAAAATGTACACGTTAATGAACATAATTAAAAACGGACTTCAGCTGACCTCAAAGGGGAACAAAGGCTCTTCTCAAACTTCATAGGGTTTTATATTTGGCAAGAGTACAATATCTATGGTAATTAGACTTTCAGCACATTTGGATATGCTAATTGGCTCTAAGTTCTAATTAATTTCTTTATATAACTAAGAATGACATATCACTGAATGAATTTAATGTGTTTTTACAGCTGAACCTAGCAATTGGCACCATTTTCTAAAATATTTTAGTATAGAATATGCAGACTTTATCGAACGATTGGTTGTATTAACACTGTAAGGTGGTAATGATTCATCTTATGACAAAATGTATACATCTAGGTAAATATTTTGAATTAAAACCCTTCATTGTGCTGTGGCTAGTAATGTGATTTAACAAATATAATTTTCAACTGAATCAGATTGCTTGGTGAAGCTTACCAGAAAGGTAATGGTGTTGGGAGACTGTAAACAAACATACTGCAATGTAATCGTAAGGGCACATCAACACAGACTGCTCAGCATTGCTCTAACTCTGCTCCCTTTGAAGTCAATGATAAAACTCCTGTTGACTTCAGTGGGAGCAGAAATGGGCCAATGCCAAGCATGTTCTCAGTCCAGGAGGGTATGGAAAAACATAAATCTTAAAGATAGTGATTTAGGGGTAGAGCTACAAAGGAGAATTATGTGTTGCAATACCTAACTCCTATGCACCCTCTTGCACAGTGGAATTCACATCCCCAAGTTAGACACCCTGGCTCCCCATGCATTGTATGGAAAGAGTTAGGCACCTAAGAAAGGGATTCCCAGAAGCTTAAGCTAGCCAGTGGAAATCCCAAGGAGAAGGGCATTAATATCTAATGAATATTTAATTATTTATACAAAGTAAACAAATATTCTTTCTTTTTTTGCATCATCTATTACAGATCCTCCATGGACACTACAGTTTTCCCGTCATATGATCTTTCCCTCAATCACCTTTAAATGAGACTTTTAGCTTAGTTAAATATGGTAACCGTTTCTTTATCAATGAACAATATGCGGTTTAATTAAAGCTAATGTAACTCTTTTTCTCAAAGTTCCACTAGAAAACATGTGCTGGAGCAAATGACATGCTAGAATTATGTTGGCTACTATTTTCCCAATTAGTGTATCACTGGAAGTGAGGTGTAGGTATTGTTACAGTCATCTTGCATTTTAAATGTTCCTCGTTAATTCAGAAGTCCTCACCCTTCTAAAGCAATGAATATCCTCCACTGCCCTGGATGATGTCATACACTGCACATGGTATTTAAAAGCAGAAACTGATATTCCTAATTTGCATTTTAAAAATGAGTCTCTGGGCAAACCCCCTTTTGACTTTCCATCCCTTTTTTTCTGGAAGGTTTTCTGTTGCTCCCATTTAAAGCTCCATAACAGGAATGACTGACAAAATGTTATGGACAATGAGGTGACAAATTATATTTTCTTTTTCAGCTTGGCTGCTGGAATCCTCTCACTGGTCTGAATGGGTCACTAACAGACAGAAAACTGGAGAATAACATGCGTGGGGTGGTTCTGCGTGTGGTGACTGTGCTGGTAAGAGATTCTGAGTGTTTTCCATTTAGAGGAATGCTACTTTTCTCCTTTTTGCTTTCCACTAATAGGTTATTGACTAAGGGTGACTAAAAAGGATTTTGAAAATAAATTACAAAGTTTAAAAAGAAACTGAAACATAGTCAACTGTCACAGAATTGAGTTTCTCCTTGTCAATACTGGATCAATGGGAATTTTCCACAAAATAATTATTTTACCAGTAAAGTTCATTTGAAAGTCGGAATTAAAGACATTAAATACTGTTTCTTCCATAGGCACATACACACAGTAGGTTATACAATCAACCTGTGTTAACTCAAAAGAGCAACACAATCTTGCCTGCCAGCTAAGGTTTCCTAGCTAAAACTCCAAATGATGCATAAGATATAGCTGCCTTCCAATTACTGTGCCAAACTGAGTGCAGTTTGACACAAATTACTGCACTCAGGAAAATATTAAAGATTGGCTTAGGGTGAATTATGTTGATTCAGTGAAATAACCTTCCTCTCAGGGCTCCCTGGGCCAAATTCTCCCCTGTGCTGTGGCCACTGCATGTTAGGCTGCTGGATCAAAGGAAGGGCCTGAAGCTGGCCAAGGAAGGGTCATACCCAAATAGGGAGATAATTTGGTGGCACAGAGCCCGCATAGAGGCTTCTGTACCCCACACCCTCCTGGCCACTTGAGTAGAGGAGTTGACCTGGGAAAAGGGGGTGTGAGCAGTGTTCTCTGCCTGAGATGTTTCAACCTAGTGTGGCCATTCAAAGCTGGGACTGGCCCAACAAAGACTCAGTCAAGATTCAGGGCAAGTACAAAGGTTATTTTAAGCCACCTTTGTAGTCACTACCTCCTCCTAGTTGTACCCACTTCTTGGTCATGAGTGAGGATTTGGACACTTATTTATAAATGAAGATACAGGGGTGGGTTTCTGTTATTTCCCTTGTAGATGTTGCCTTGTACAGAAAAAAATTCAGCTGGGCTAAGCTAGAGGGTGATATCAGGGAGTTAGGGGTACAATTAAAACACAAATTTTGCTTTTTGGGGTTTTATCCCATGACTAGTTAAAATCTAGCCTTTAGAAGATACTATAAATATGGTAGTCCCGTGTGCTTTTACTATTGTCTGTTTTGTTTAAGAGACTCATATATCTGACCATGGTTTAAAAAAAAATAGAATGAATAGATATAAAAAGACAAAGCAGTATTTATATGTTTTATACTTTGATGCTAATTGGACATTCCTCAAAGTAGTATCACAACAGCAATGGATGGCCTTTGTACTTTGCTTGGTATAAACTTAAATTGATTCAACATAATTTTCTTGCAACAGAAATGTTCAGCGAACATTCTCTATCAAAAGAAATTCAAATGAGTATCTTGTCTTTTTTTCATCCCTAGTTATCATTTTAGTTAGCTTGCCAGGGAGCATTCTTCTGTCAAACAATTATATTATGAACATTTAGCAACTTAGACACTAGTGTGGAAAAAAAGAGTAATTACTCACACTGATAGTTTTGTATAAGCCAAAAAAGAAGGATATTTAAAGTTCAGCAACACATCACATGGAAGATTTAGTTCCGTCTCCACAGTCCCCACACAAAGAAAGACCATTGGCTGATATTTGCATCCAGGGGGCAATTTCTATTTTGTGTTTGTGTTATTTTTAAAGCAATGTGTTTCCAAACACAACTGCAACTTGGTAGTATTTCAATTGTGCCATCATGCAAATTGATTAGTCTCTCATTTTGTTAACTGTGTCTCTCTCTATATGAAGACTATGAACTAGAGGCAGTGGATGAGGAAGACACAAATGATCCCCATTGCCTTTATACAGTAAGACTTTCCTCTGTCTTTTAAGCAATTAGTAAGGCTTTGCATGGTTGGTTAGTGCAGTCTGATGGTTCGAGTCTTGCAAAGCTGTCTGTGACCCAGAGTACCATCTAAGGCTCATTATATTTTATACACCAAAGCACATATTTTCTAAGTTGGGTGCCTAAAGTTGGGCACCTAAATAAGGGCTTCATTTTCAGAGGTGGTAGGAATCTGGAACTCTGATTGAAATAAATTAAATATTTCATCTGTTTGGCTGATGAACATGAGTTATGCTGATGGGTCCATTTTTGCTTGAATTCTAGAATTCATAAGAGGTGGAAAGGGCATTCTTATATAATTATTTCCTGCTCACATACAAAAGTTTGGTGTAGAAAAGAAAAGATAAAAAATCAATCAGACAACAAAATGGAAAACTGAAGGAGGGCAGAAGAGATGGAAAATGCAGTAATGGCAATTGTGCTAGTATTCTATCATCGTCTCTTACCTCCTCTAACTTAGTGCTAGACTAATTACTGTTGTTGCTGCCAATTATATTGATAACATTATAAATTTAGGGCCTGGTCCTGCAAAGTTTTACTGTTGTGTGCCAGTGGATATGCTTGAGCAAGCAAAGTTTCACAGGATCTGGCCTTGATTGTGTCTGGGAATTAAAATTCATCTGTCATATTCTCTCTCTCTCTCTCTTACACTTACACACACACACACACACACACACAATTTTAGCATGGTTCAGCTCAGTTAATATCTTTGGTTTACATCATTTATTGGGCGTGACTAATAACAATGATACAAAAATGTTAGCTTTTATGGGAAGGAAGGGGTGTGTTGATATAATATTCTGGGGTTTGTAAGAACAAGTGCGAGGTGCCAGAAATAGAGCAAGCATGTTAAGTCACAATTATTGGCAAAATATTGTGTCTTTGCTGTCAATGAAGAGCTCTTAAGCAGAACAAAGTCTTGATAATCTATAAAAGTCTCTCTTTTTGCTATGATATTTTCTTTCTGGGGCAGAAGTATAATTTTGTATTTGTCACTTGGAGTGAAGTCCTGGTTCTGTTGAAGTCAGTGAAGACATGTCTACAATGCAATAAAACACTTGCATTTGCCCAGGTCAGCTGCGGGACTCGGACTGCAGGGCTATAAATTGCAGTGTAGGCATTTAGGCTCAGGCTGGAGCCTGGGCTCTGGGACCCCACAAGGGGAGAGGGTCACAGAGCCCAGGCTCCAGCCTGAGTCCGAACAGCTACACTGCAATTTTATAACCCTGTAGTCCAAGCCCTGCGAGTCTGAGTCAGCTGACACAGGCCAGCCACAGGTATTTTATTGCAATGTAGGCGTACTCTGAGAGTTGAGCTATTGACTTCACTAAGGGCAGGATTTCACCCGCGCACTTCATCTAAAAGGAGGAAACTCTTTTGCTCGCGCTCTCTCTCTCACTCCTCTCAGGGGTGTTTCAAGCAGCAAAGGTTATAAATAGTGGTGTGGAACTTATTTAAGTTGTCAGTGGCTAATGATCTTAGCACTCAGGCCTACCAGGTTCTGAGCATCTTGGTCCTGATCCAGCAAAGAACTAAAACACATTCTTAAGTTTAAGTACTTGGGTAGTCCTACTGAAGTCAATGAGTTGCCTTAAATCCCTCTGGAGTGTTGTTTTTCTTTTAAACTTTGATTTCAGTGATTCCACTATCTCACAGTAGTGGCAAATGAAAGTTTTGGAGGGGGTGTAGAGGAGGAATGTCAGAGGCTAGCTTTCTACGAACAGTACAATGCACGATACCACGATCTAGTGATGGAACAGTGGTTGTGACCTGCAACAGATGTGCCATGTTCTGTTTCCTGACTGAAGCCAGAGAAAGGGACTTCCTGAGTATGAAGTACAAGTTGTGACTATGCTGTAAAAAAGGGTTGTTGGAGTGGAGTAGATACTGTGGAGAATCTAAGGAGTTCTTGGATGAGCAGATTTTGGAAACCTCACTACCTCAGGTTCAAAGAAAGAAATGAACTGGCCACCAAGGAAACAGATAGAGAGAGGAAATGAGAGAGGAGGCTTGGCAGTTGATAACCACCAGAGGCAAAAGGATGAGATGATGATCTACACAGCCAGAAGCAGATAAGGAATGGGCATACTGTGACTACCAAAGAGAAGAAAACCTGGAGCTAGGAGCTTCTCACACAGCTAGAGGTTTCCAGTCATTACCAGGTCCTCAGTGGGAACTATGGAAGGAATCTCTGAAGATCCAGCTGGTTGAATGGAATGGAAAGGTGTGCAGAACACACCTGTGGGTCGCTGCTCAGCCCAAGCTATAAACAAAACAAGTATGCCCACGAAGAGATCTCCAGTTGTCCCAGGGAGGCAGAGAATCCTTGTCAGGGATTCTATACTAAGAAGAATGAAAAGAACATTCTGCAAGACAAGCAGACAATAGGACAGTTTGCTGTCTTTCAGGAGCTTAGACACGAGATGTGATTCTAAGATTGAATAGGCTTAAAAAGTTCAAGTGGCTAGAAGTTGAAGTTTGACAAATTCTGACTAGAAATAAGGTAAATTTTTAACAGTGAGGATAGTTAACTATTAGAACAAGTTACCAAGGGTTGTGGTAGATTCTCCATCACTAGAAATGTTTAAATCAAAATTTGATGTTTTTGTAAAAGATATACTCGAGTTCTAGGAATTAATTCAGGGAAGTTCTGTGGCCCGTGTTGTGGAGGATGTCCTAGAGGATCACAGTGGTCCATTCTGGCTATAAATCTAAGAATGAATCTCACCTCCTTCTGGATGAGTCTTCCCTCTCTTCCATTTTTATTGTGTTAAGGTTTTTTGGGGGAAGGGGGAGGGGTTAATTGTCATAGATATTTGGCAGAACTTCACAGATTTCAACATCAGGACCAAACTGCACTTCTTATGAAATTAAAAACCCTGTTGTGAGGTGGGGACAAATAAATTTTTGCTGATTTCTGTCTCACCCATCAAATAAAATCATTATTCATGTAGAGAAAGAGAAATATTTAGGAAATATTACAAAAAAGAATAGTTCCACCTTAGAACCAGTTAAAGTTACTCAGATATGGCTAATAATACCCGGTCTCATTATTCTCCCATTTGCACATGCAGTTTTTATGACTAATAAACCAGAAAAAAGATGAAGTGATTACATGTAGATAAAACAATCATAA